GGCTACGCCTGCCTCGAAGATCAGTCAGCAGGTTGGTGGCCTGGGGACGTGGGAGTCTGGGGCAGGTCGGTGGCCTGGGGCAGGTCTCTCATTTCAGGGTCTGCCATGCTCTAGGGAAGGTCGTGGCCAACAGGACGGTGGACTACGAGGAGGTGCAGTGGCTGAACTTCACTGTCCGAGCTTCTGACAACGGCTCTCCCCGCAGATCTGCTGAGATCCCGGTGTACCTCCAGATAGTGGACATCAATGACAACAATCCCATTTTCAGCCAACCATCCTACCAGGTGAGCTGGACTCCCCTGTTCAAGCCCATATGGGGCTGGGCAGTGCCAGCCTGGTGAGGATGAGCACAGAGCTGGGGGTTCTCCAGGGACACCTTCTCTTCCCTCTATGCTTGAACCATATGAAGAAGATGGTCAATCCACCAACGTACTCTGTGTGAACATCTTGTTCTGGATCCGGCTATGCCCACCCCTGGGTGCCACCCTGTGCCCTTGGTTACTGCCCGCTAAAACAGCAAATGGTGAAACCAGTCCTGCCTGCTGTCTTTGCTTGCAGAAAGCTGTCTTTGAGGACGTGCCATTGGGTACGGTCATCCTGAGGGTCAAGGCCACGGATGCAGATTCTGGGCGTTTTGCTCTCATCCAGTACAGCCTAGGGGATGGAGAGGGCAAGTTTGGGATAAATCCCAACACGGTAAGGAGTCAACCAAGGCTGGAACAAAGTGGGGAAAGGGAGGGGAGGCTGAGATGGTCCCATGGTATGCCTTGGTCCCATGATATGCCTTGGTCCCACACCTCACCTTTTGCCCCTTCTTGAGTACCAGCTCTGCCAAATGAGGTCCACCTGAAGGTCTCTGTGTGCTGCAGGGTGACATCTACATCCTGTCAGCCCTGGACCGGGAGAAGAAGGATCACTACACACTGACAGCTGTGGCCAGGGACAACCCTGGGGACATCTCCAGTAACCGTCGGGAAAACTCTGTGCAAGTAGGGCTCTCCTCCTCCTACAACCCCTTGTGTGGTGGTCAACAGTAAGAAGGTGTTAAACCTCAGGCTTTCCTCCCCAACAGGCTTGCTAGTGGCTCAGGGAGGAACTAGGCAGAAGGAAGAGCAGATGACCCTGGGGGCTGTGGGGTGGATGGTGCAGGGGCCTTTGCGCCGTGGGGACAGCACGTTGGCAGAAGGGAACAGAGCAGGAGGGGCAGGGGAGGGTGACACTATTGTGTGCAAGAGCTCCAGCGTGAATGGGGGCCCCAGCCACAACAGTCCCCATTGTTGGAGGCAGGAATTCAGCTAGCAGAGCTAAACGAATAGCAGGAAGGGCACTGCGCTCTGGCAGTGGAGTCACGGGTCACGGCAGGGGTATGGCCCCTGTAGGCTCCCTGACCTTTTCCACCATCACGTCGCCCAGCCGGCTGTGCTTTGTCGAAGGTGCTGATCACAGTCCTGGACATCAACGACTTCAGGCCCCAGTTCAGCAAAAGCCAGTTCAGCACCAGCGTCTATGAAAATGAGCCGTCAGGGACATCAGTGATCACCATGACCAGCACTGACCTGGATGAAGGGGATAATGGCGTGGTGACCTACAGCATCGAGGGCCCTGGAGCAGGTGGGTGCCGGGGGGGCGGGAGGAGGGGCGGGGGGGGGCGTCCTCCCCAGGGAGAAAGGTTATGATGAGAAGCAATTGGAAGAGATGTAGGAGCCTAGCCTACATCCCCTGTCCTGCGGCTGGTTAGGAGCAAGGTTGTGCACGTGCCCCAGGACCTATAATACTGAAAGCGTGGAGCTTTCGATATTGCTCCAGTTCCCTGTTCCTCATGGCATGGCACATTATGGCTTTGCCTGCAGCCTAGCCTTGGCTTGTCCCCTTCTCTCCCCCACCCCATCAGGACGTTCTATGTACACCAGTGTGTCTTGGAGCAACTCACTGCATGCTTTAGAGGAAAGCTAAGAAGGGTTAGGAGGTTGTGGGTGGATAGTGATAGTGCCTAAAATCCAGTATAACAATGCACACCAAGGAGTGATGGGAACAGGCAAAAGCCAGCACAAATGTAGAGGGGAATGGCAGAACATTAATTTTCCTGAGATGCAAGGGCTCCTCTGACCACTGTCCTGTCCCAGCCTAGGCAGAGAAACGCAGCAGAGTTGGCCTGGAAGCAAGGCCCTTGGCACTGTCCAGTGGCAGGGATGAGGCAGTAGGCAAGGATGCTCTCAAAACCCTGAGACCATCCACATCCCTGGCCTCAGGCAGCCAGCTGTGTTCCATCACTCCTTGATAGGGATTCCCCACCAGTAAGGGATGTGCTTTAACTGGTATACTGGTTTCTAACTGTATTTTATCTGGTGCGAAGTGTCCTGAGCCAGAGATGTGGTTTTTTTCTGCTCCCAGAGGCTTTCAAGATCAATAAAGACTCCGGGCTTGTCACATCCCAGCGGCGCTTGCAGTCCTATGAGAGGTTCAACCTGACTGTGGTGGCCACGGACAAGGGGCGTCCCCCTCTCTGGGGGACCACCATGCTCCACATTGAGGTCATCGACATCAATGACAACCGCCCCATCTTCATCCGCCCACCCAATGGCACTATCCTGCACATCAAGGAGGTAAATCCCCTGAGAGGGAGCAGTGGTCATGGCACACTGACACCATGCTCACGAGCGTTCCTGCCTGCCAGTGGCAAAATCTGATCTCCATCTCCACCAGGGATGGAACAAGACCTTTATTTAACACATGGAAAGAAGGTTTGGGTCACGGGGCTGGACAGTCAACAACAGTCCCTCTCCATACATGCGACTGGGGATGCTGAGGCAGCTTTGGGGAACAGAAACCCAGGCAGCATGCAAAATAAGGAAACAGCCAGTCGCTGCATGCTGAGCCTGTTTATAAACAAGGGTCGAAATGCTGACATTTAAGATGTTTCTCCTTTCTGGGAAGCCAGGCTTAGCTCAGACAGTCCCTGACGCATGCGTGGTGCAGCCACCCTGCTGAAGGGAATCATGGCTCCACGTTGACAGCCCCTACTTGGGTTTTGGGCAGCAGGAGCCTGTTGACCTTAATACAAGGGGGTTTGGAGGGGCAGAAGGAGCAGGGAGCTCATGTGCAGTGCTGGAGCTGAGGGGCTGTGCATGTGCAAGCAGGAGATCCCCCTGCGATCCAATGTCTACGAGGTCTACGCCACGGACAAAGACGAGGGACTCAACGGAGCGGTGCTTTACAACCTGCTGAAAACCGGGGCGGGGAACAAAGACTGGGAATATTTCAGCATCGACTCGGTCAGCGGGCTGATCCAGACGGCCATGCGACTGGACCGGGAGAAGCAGGCGGTGTACAACGTGAGCCAGGCAGCAGTGCACCTGCGGGGTGGCCGGGATGCTCCTCGAGGCTGTGGGTCTGGTGCAGGGCTGGTGGGATGCAAGTGATGTGGTGGGGATGGGGTCAGCTGTCGCAGTTGTGAAGATGTCACACCTTAGCAGGAACTAGGTGATTATCAAGTGCCATTGGGGAGTGGCATCCTGGTGGGCCAGCTCCCAATTCCCTGATAAATCCCCGCAAAATCTCCCACCACCCAACTGTCCTCTCTGTCCCTGCCTCAGTAATGTCTCCTGGCCCACGTGGCTTTGTCCAGGACAGCCCTTTTGCCTCTCTCCCCAGCTGATCATTGTGGCCTGTGACCAGGGCCAGCCAGCCTACGAGACCATGCAGCCCCTCCAGGTCGCACTTGATGACATCGATGACAATGAACCTATCTTCCTTAGGCCACCTGTAAGGCGCTGGGATGGAAGGGGTGGGAGACAGGGGATGCAGGGATGGGGATGTCGGTGAGCACATGTGATGGAGCACGCACCACTGGGCATCACCATGGTGGGGAGCACGACAGGATTTGTCCACTTCTGCTTAAAGCCACCTCAATGCTCATAACCCTTCCTTCTCCCGGGGTCTCTGGCAGAGGGACAGTCCCCAGTACCAGGCACTCTCCATCCCTGAGCACTCACGGCCAGGCACTGTGGTAGGGAATGTCACCGGGGCAGTGGATGCGGATGAGGGCTCCAATGCCATTGTCTACTACTTCATAGCAGGTGGGTGCTGAGCAGGGAGGGGATGGGCAGCTCTGCATCCCCCCACATCCCCTCACCAAGGGTTTCCATTGTTCCCATCACCTCCTTGCTGCATTTCTGCCCTAGTCAATGGGCAGGTGGCGTTTCCCCCCAAGCTCAAACTGGGGACCCCTTTCTGCACCCAGCTGGGAACGAGGAGAGCAACTTCCAGCTGAGCCGAGAGGGGAAGCTGCAGGTCTTGCGAGACCTGGACCGGGAGAAGGACCCGTACTACTCCATCATCGTCAAAGCATCCAGCCAGAGGAATTGGTCCCCTCCCCGGGTCCAACGAGCAGGCAGAGCCCAGACCTGGGACCTCAGTGGGGACCTGACCCTTCAGGAGGTGCGGATCTTCCTGGACGACATCAATGACCAGTCCCCTCAGTTCACCAAGTCAGAATACACGGCGGGTAAGGGGTGCTGGGGGGGGCCCAGGAGCCAGAGATGCTCCTGGGAAAATCCAGCAGGATGAAGGGGCAGTGAGAGCCAGCCCAGCCCCACGTCCCCATCTCTCTCTCTCAAAGGGGTTGCCACTGATGCAAAGGTGGGATCGGAGCTGATCAGAGTGATTGCAGTGGACGCCGATGTGGGCAATAACAGCCTGGTCCTGTACAACATCTTGGGCATCCGCTACATCAAGCAGCACTCCAACGACTCTGAGGAGGTGGCCAACATCTTCAGCATTGGTGTGTACCCTACATGCCACGGGAGCACAGGGCCAAGGCCATACACGTCCCTGTGGCTGAAGATATCCCCGTGGCCAGGACCACTAATTCTGAGCTTGTGACTGTCTTTCCCCCAGGAACTCTTGATGGGATCCTGCGAACCTTTGACCTCTTCACGGCCTACAACCCTGGGTACTTCGTGGTGGATATCATGGCCTCTGACTTGGTGGGCCACAACGATACGGCCGTTGTGGGGATTTACATCCTGCGGGATGACCAGCGTGTCAAAATCATCATCAACGAGATCCCTGACAAAGTCAGGCAGTTCGAGGAGGAGTTTATCAGCCTGCTCTCCAACATCACGGGCGCCATCGTCAACACGGATGATGTGCAGGTAACCATCCACCCTTAAGGTTGCTTCAAGGGGTAGGTAACATTGCACGTGCTGATTGGGAGGTCTCCTTTGAGAGACCTGTCTGTATTAACAGGTCTCCTTTGAGTGCCCTGTCTGTATTAACAATAGAAACCCCTGAGCTCTGACAGTGATGGATACATCCCAGGCTGAGTGTATCAAAGGGGTCCAGACTGACCCTATGCCAAGCTTGAGGGTCTCCTGCCACATGAGCACACCTCAGGGCACACTCAAGAGGGGTCCTGGGAGGAGACACTTCTCCCACACTGCAGACCTTACTGTCTCTCACCAGTTCCATGTCGACAAGAAAGGTCGGGTGAACTTCGCACAGACAGAGCTGCTGATCCATGTGGTGAACAGGGAGACCAATCGCATCCTGGACGTGGACCGGTACGTCACCTGGCCCATCACCCAGCTGGCTTGTTGAGTTCTCAGGGAGCCTCATTAACATCAAGATGCCCAAGCAACCCTTCTCTTCCCAGGGTGATTCAGATGATAGATGAGAACAAGGAGCAGCTGAGGAACCTTTTCAGGAACTACAACGTGCTGGACGTGCAGCCTGCCATCACTGCCCATGCCCAGGAGGACCTCTCAGCTCTGCAGGTAACGGCCCAGCTGAGGCTGGAGATAGCTGTTGCTTGCAGGTGGGGCAATGTCCCTTCCCATTGCTCCATGGCCCTTTGTGGCCTGGAGAGATGTTTCACCCAAATAATTTCAGGTGGGTGCCCACCACTGGGTGCTGGCTCCATGCCAGAGTTTGCCACTACCCCTTTGTCTCTCCCAGATGGCAATAATCGTGCTGGCCGTCCTGCTCTTCCTGGCTGCCATGCTATTCATCCTTATGAACTGGTACTACCGGACAGTGTGAGTAACTCCCGGGCTCTGCCACACAGGCTGCAACGTCCCCAAGGGCCAGGCGGTGCCCTGCGTGGCTGTTCCCAGCTCTGTTGGTGCCAACAAGCAAAGGATGGCATCAGCATCCCAACACTTACTGCGATGAAATTGCCCTTCTTTCCCCAAAAGTATAATGGTTTTAATACTGATAGTGCCTCTCCCTGCCAAGCACACTGTCCTTATAGATTACAGGCACTGTTTGCAGGGTTACTGCAAATCTGTGCTTCCCTCTCCTTTTGAGTATCTTCCTGATTTTCTTCCCTGATTCGCTGTATTTTTTTCTCAGGCACAAAAGGAAATTGAAAGCCATAGTGGCTGGCTCCACTGGTGAGCAGTGTTTGGGGTTTTTCAGCTGCATGAGACAGGAGGGTGCATGAAGAGCATGGAGGGGGTCCATAGGGAGAAGTGGGGGATGTCAGCAGGGTGTAACTCAGAAGTGATCTTGCCCAGCAAGGCGTGATGGTGGGAGGCTTTTCTCAGCATCCAGGCTCCACGTTATCAGCCGCATGCCACCAGTGCCTTTTTGGTTGCAGAGTTTCCCTCCCCAGTAAAGTGCTGCCCCATGGTTTGCTGCTCAGCCCACCAATGTGCCACCCTGTAACCCCTGGCCCTGCCTTTTGCAGGGAACAGAGGCTTCATGGACATCATGGACATGCCAAACACCAACAAGTACTCCTTTGATGGGTGAGTTCTCCCCTTCCTTTCCCCTTCCCAGTCTGCCACCTTGCAGGATCACAGGCTGCTCCCAAGAGAGGGACACCTGTGTTTTGTAGACAGCGATATGCGGGAGGTGGAGACACAATGCCTCTCTGCTCTGCAGAGGGATGCGGCCAGGCATGCCATATGGGGCATGACTCTGGCCCTGGGACACGTGCTTGCCTTGAGAGCTTTCAAAGCCAAAAGACCTTGGCCTTCATCTCTGCCAATACTGGCCAGGCTTGGGGTAAGCAGAGACAACGGGGAGGTGTCGGCACATATCTGGATCCAGAGCAGCCAAATTCGTGCCTGCACAGGGCAGGAAGAGGCAGTGCAACCTCAGCATACAGGCCCTGGATGGCGTTAGGGATGCTGCCACTCTGTGCTTGTGCTGAGGGCTACTCCTCTCCCCCTGGCAGGGCCAACCCAGTGTGGCTGGATCCCTTCTGCAGGAACATGGAGCTAGCAGCGCAGGCGGAGCACGAGGATGACCTGCCGGAGAACCTGAGTGAGATCACTGATCTCTGGAACAGCCCTGCCCGCACCCATGTGAGACATGGGCCCTGCCAGGACACCTC